ATGCTGGATCCAGTCTGCTTTTTCTAAAAAGCTGCTTTTTGTTTGGTTGGTTTTTGTTTCTTAATCTTAAGACAGGCGATGCTTATAGAAATTATTGAAATAATTATAGAAATGGTCAATCAAAGAAGACGGAAGGTGAGCTCTGACTCCAGATGGCAAGTGTCCAGGAATACACTCTCTTCCGTTATCTGGATGGCTTCTCTGCCAAAGTGTCTGCTCAAGGGAACAGGGTGACCAAGCGCTTACTCTCATGCACAGCACAAAGCCACCTGGCAGAACTTTCCAAGGACCTGGGCGAAGACTTTCAATAGGAGCTGTGTCTCAATCACCTTATGGCTTTGGGATAACACGAGGCTTTTGGGAGCCTTGTTGCTTCACAATAGATCGCCCAGCCCAGAATAAATTCTCATCACTCTCCATTTTCAGAGGATGGGGCAATCTCTCTCCTGCCATGGAAATCAGACTTTCAGCCTTTGGCCTTTAGGGTGGACTGCACTTGATTTATTCTTTTTAAGCCTCAGGTGAAGTCACCCTCATCCACAGCATCATCTGGTCCAGGAGGCTTCCCAGTCTGCTCTGTGGAGTTTGTCCAGATGCAAGCAATAACTCTGACCATCAGGCGAGCTGGTCACTCTGGACTCAGTGTGACTCGGCAGTGGCTGAGACTAGGTCTTCTGGACTTAGATAGTTTTGTACCTTGAAATAGTTGAGAAAAGTATTTCCTGAATGGAAAGGAAGAAGGAGAAAAGAACAAAGAAAAACTGTGTGTTTGTGCATGCTGGTGCCCGTGTGATGTCACTATAAGATTGTCCTGCCCAAAGATTCCTCCTTAACCATGTTCAACCTGAGTCCACAAGAAGCCATGTGTTCTGGCTTGGCTTAGAGAGAGAGAGAGACAGAGAGACAGAGAGACAGAGAGACAGAGAAAGAGGAGGGGGGTATGACAAGGTCAATTATAAGACAGGAGGCTTTCCAGAGAGGTAGTGGCTACACAGTAGGAAACGTGGTAGGAACATGACCAGGCATCCACACAGGGCACTCTGTGGATCAAATGGGTCTGATGTCTTGTGGTCCAAAGTCTAGTACCAGCTTTTGACATGCATTTTTGGCTTTTTTTAAATCTCTTTTGGTGGCATGTTTTTTAGAAATGAAAATACAAATGTATACAGTTCTAAATCTATAATGCTGTAACATAAAAAGGTAAAACTACCTAGAATGAATACAGCTTTCAGGGACACTGATTCCTCATTCCTGCTCTACTGTCTATAGCTCCATCCCCAAGATCAGCTTACCTGGGGTCTGTGACAAGGATTCAGTCCTCCACAATCCAGAAGGCGCACCGTCACACTGCACCTTCTCCAGGCCTTCCTATAACAGCGTGTATTAGTAGAATTTATGTTACTGCGTAATTATAAGGTGGAGTTACAAAATAGATAATGAGTTTCAATCCTTGGAAACAGCTCCACATCTGGCCGGATTCTGGTGTTTCCGTTTCTAATAAGAAATGGTCTTCCAGCCATTCTAACTTGTCCACTTACAAAGGATCGTTCTGATATTTTTAAAGTCCCCCATAAGCTCTGTGGTGAGATGGAAGTTCTGAGACTCCCATGTTCCTGGCCTGGAGAGCATGTTTACAGATTTTTCCATGATGCCCTTTTATCTCCATACAGACAAGAGAGCCGTCTCAAACATGAAGGCAGCTCTGCCCTGGATCCACAGATAAGTTCAGATCCTCAGCCACACCCCTGTATTTAGTTAGGAAAGCCCGGTCCCTCTGCAGGGAGAAACTGGCACTCGGTGCACAGCTCTGCCACCTCCCTGTGCTTCTGAGATCTCTGAAGTTCACATGTCCTTAGGCAACTGTCAGGTTTATCAGATAATGCATGAATACCTGTCAGGCTTTTGCTCAGCTCACCCTTGCCTCCAACACAGTTCAATTTCCGTCTTTCCGGAGTTCTTTTAGACTCTATTTCTCATTCTTCCATCAGCATTCACGGTCCCCTTCATATGCTTGCTCCTACCCAGCCTCTTCCACACTTGCGACAGATAGATTTCCACCTGGAATGACGCACTCTCTCCCTGAATCTCCAAAGCCTGGAAGCCCTTCCTTTTGAAGCAAGCCCTTCTAACTTCCTCCATTCTGAAAGTCCCTGCTAAAACTCCTTCTAATTTTAGTTTCTCCCCTCCCTGACCTCCAAATGAACTTATATTCATATACTCAAAAAATGCTTAGTTGGAAAGAACCTTGGAGGACATTCAGTGTAAGCTCCCTGTGAGGGCTGCCGCTGGCCCAGCCCATGTCTGAAATTGAAGAAAAGCACCCCCCACTCCCCCAGAGCCAGTTCAAAGCTTTAAAGCAACAAGCTGCTGCCTGCATCCTCTGTGGCCCCTACGACAAAGCCAAGCACAACAAAGCCATTTGCACAGGACTTGTTTTTAAAGAAGATACAGTGAGCTCAAAATCACCCTCAGAAATCACAGTCAATAACCAGGAGTTATGGTAAATACAATTTTCTGTATGTGTTTTCTTATTTCAGTACAGCCATCAAGGTCTGTTTCTTCTTCCATCTTTGGAATAGACTTTTTTTTTTTTTAAATTTGGTTGAACACTACATGTAGATGTTGACTTACAATTAAAGGCTACTTCCTATAAAACACTTCTTTTAGGGATCACATTAATGGAGGGGGCCACAATGTGAGAAGCATCTGGGATAACAACAAGCATGTGCTCATTTCAGGAGGGTTCTCAGCTTCCTTCCTTAGTGATGAGCTTCAAATAATTCATAGAGCTCTGAGCCACCCACAACTGTTTATACAGCTCTTGTCACTTGGTGGTCTCTGCTGAGGACCACTGTTCCTCTTTTACCAAACAGTTCTGTGTTGATGTTACAAACTCAGGCTGTCTCGGAAATGGCACACATCCAGGTGCAGCTGCAGAAAGGACAAGAACCCAGGTATAATGCAGAAAGGGCATGCATCCAGGTGCATTTACAGAAAACACCTGCTTCCAGGTGTAATGCAGAAAGGGAATGCTTTCAGGTATAATGCAAAAAGAGCGTGCTTCCAGATAAATACAGAAAGAGCATGCATCCAAGTGAAGCTGCAGAAATGGCATTCATTCAGGTGCAGCTGAAGAAAGAGTGTAGTTGGAATTTTATTTGGGCACTGGTTGGCAGCCCAAAGAAGTCTCCATGTCATTACTTGGGAGCTGGCTGGTGGGACAGAGAAAGAGCTCGGCTACAAAAGGACATGCTTTCAGGTGCAGCTGCAGAAAGGACACGCTTCCAGGTATAATGCAGAAAGGGCATGCATCCAGGTGCAGCTGCAAAATGGCATGCTTCAAAGTGAAGCTGCAGAAAGGGCATGCATCCAAGTGCAGCTGCAGAAAGGACATGCTTCAAAGTGCAGCTGCAAAAGGGCATGCATCCAAGTGCAGCTGCAGAAAGGGCATGCTTCCAGGTACAATGCAGAAAAGGCCTGCATCCAAGTGCAGCTGCAAAAGGGCATGCTTCAAAGTGCAGCTGCAGAAAGGGCATGCATCCAAGTGCAGCTGCAGAAAGGGCATGCATCCAGGTGTGGCTGTGTGGAGTTTGGATAAGAATGGGGTAATAGCAAGCCTCCTCCAAGAGGCAAGCAGGTAGTGAAGTATTTGTGTTGAAGTTCAGGCAAGTCATCAGATGAAAACCTGCAAGTTCGCAGTCCCTCTCAGGACAACAACAGTCAGTCAGCTGCAGCTCTCTTGGGACAGCAGCTGCTGTGAGTTCCCAGCAGGAAAGCGTCTTGGCAAGCACTAGAAGTGTTTGTTGGCTTACAATTCAACCCCAGTTCTAGGAAGCCCAGAACATAAAGTCAGAGGTTTAGAGAGAAAGTGGAGAGGAGCTTTGAGCATGTTACATTTAAAAAAAAAAAAAAAAGGAAGAAGAACAATAAAATTACCTTTTTTCCATCCTACCTCTAAACAGGGATGCATGCCCACACGTGCACACACCACCCGCTGGGACCTCCAAACTGGTCTGTTCAGATTTCTGAGGCATAGAGCAGGAATGAAGGAAGCAGGGGACAGGAGACTCCCCACCCACTGCCAGAACAGCAGAGCAGCTGGTTCAAATATGTTGTTCACACTGATCATCCCAGCACGTCTTTCTTTGATGAGAGGGTTTGAGAATAAGGAGAAGAGGAGGAGGAGGAGGAGGAGGAAGAGGCACAGAAGAGGAGAAGAGGGATAGGGGTGGGTGAGGGGAGTGGGGGTTAAAGCTAGATTCTAGATTCTAGCAGCAAAGCAATGTAAAAGGTCCTCTGGGCACAAGAGGTCTCTGCGCAGGGACTAGCCTAGCCATCGCTCTTAGGGTTAATAGCTAAATGTCATGCAGCCTCCCTCCGGCCTCCACTCTGCTCACTAATAATCGTCCTTTTTAAAATTTTATTACTTTATATATGTTGTTGAGCTGACAGTGTTCACCATGGGACATCGCCGCAGCAGACGTAACAAGATAGTTTTCTCAAGCTTACTCTTGGCACTTCAGAAGAACTGAAAGGTTTTTATTTTTCCAGGGTCTGTGTGACAACAGAGAAGCCTTTGGAGTACACCTGGCCTATGGGTGACTCCAGTGGAAAACCTGAAAGTCCCCGTCCGTGGGAGGGAGTGGACACAGGGCAGTCGGGTGAGGAGTGAAGAGACATTGGGTCTTATATGAGTAGAGGCAGGACCTGTGGGCCTGAGGGAGTGGTGCCAGGAGGCTAGGCCGAGGGAGGAGAGAGGATGGATCCCACTGGAAAGCCAGCAGGCATCGATTGAGAGCCCCTGCACATCCAGTTGAACAACTTTTATTCCTTGAGCAAAACAAACAAACAAACAAACAAACAAAAAACATTGGCCTTCCTGCCTTTCCTTCCTCCTCTCCCTCCCTCCATCCTTCCCTCCCTCCCTCCCTCCTTCCCTCCTAACTTCCTTCCTTTCTTCCCTTTTCCTCTTCCTTTCAAGAAGATAATTGGCTGGTGTGCTGAGATTAATATGATGAAAGTGGGGAGGCGAAGCTGGCAAAAACAAAACAAAACAAAACAAAACAAAACAAAACAAAACAAAACAAAACAAAACAAAAAAAAACCCTCTCGAGTTTTGGTTTCTGGAGAAACCCAGAGACGGAGACAAACCGACTTCTTCCCCAGGGTTGTGGTGAGGACGAAGGAGCAATGATGGCTGTCATTACTCATCTAGGGCCTGTGTTGCAGGAAGCTATACAGGAGATTTGGGGCTTTCCTCTTCCTGTGGTGAAATCTCCGCGCCCTGCAGGAGCTCAGATCTGGGGAGAAGGCGAGTCCCTGTAAAAGAGAGAGCGAGAAGAGCGCATGCGCCACAGGACGGTTGCCATCGTCTAAGGGAAGGGTGTAGAAGGTTGTTGTCAGCCACCGGAACGGAGCAGTTCCTGTTAAGATGGAGACTGAGGACAATTGCTTGAGAAAGACCTGGGACGGTAAAGATAACCCCGAGGTAGCTCTTTATCCTTGGCAGCAACAGACTGTTTGAGGAGAGCAAACCCAGCAGGGCCGTCCGTTCCTGAGTTGGTTTGCGGTGGCGCAAGGGAGCCGCATGGTCGCAGTCAGTGCTGCATGCTAGAACCGAGGACCCTGGTGAAGACCACACGCAAAAGGATTCCAGTGTTTCTAATGTTACAGCCAGGGGCAGAAATTTCTGAGGCAGGAAAATAGAAAGCAAGATCCAGAAGACCTTGCGCCAGGCCTTACTAAATTAACACACGGGAAAAAAAAATTGATGAAGAATGCTCAAACGTCTCTGTAAAATCCAGCCACCGGTGCATGTAGTCACTCCAGTGTCCTAGATTAGCCCGTGGCTCATCCTAATGCTAAAATGACCATGGGTGACAGTTTAAGATGGCCCCCTTGAAGCTGCTCTCCTCTCTGGTCATCAGGCTTCCTCCCTTGGAAATGGGCACTTTCTTAATACAGTCTCTGACTTAGCTTGTTGCTATCCACATAACTTCATTAAATTCTTTGTTCTGGAGTCCTCCTGAGGTACTCACCAAACCAAATATCTACTGTATCATCATGACATTGATTGAGATGAAGAAAAAGAGAATAAAGAGAAAAGATAAGGGATAGACATTTTGAAAAGCATCCTTTGTGCTTTTTTTTTTTGAGATCTTTTGTGTTTTATTTTTATTTTTATTTTTTTTTTGAGGGATAGCTTTGTTTTTTGTTTTTCTATCAAAGGTAATTAGCCCAACAAGGGCCCATAGTCTCTGAACCTCCCCCTTACCCTTCGCCCTGATTAGCCAACCACTTCGGATTGTAAAGTCGTTTCCACCAATGGGTTGAGACACAGTCACCGCCTATATCAAGTATAAAACACAGATGCTGTCTTGACTGAGCATGTTCACTAGCCCAATCTGGGTTCTGCACACACCCCTCTTCCAAAAAGAAATTACCTCGCCAAGTTACTTTCACTATGTTCATGTGTTCCTTTGTGTGACACTGTGGTTATTATTTTCCATCCTATTGAGGTAGAAAATGTTATTTCTTTCATAGTCTATTTCAAGAATTGAGGGGAAGAAGAAAGCTGACATGTGTTTTTTTTTTTGTTGTTTTTTTAGGAAAGGTCCAGATTATAGAAGGAATCCCTTGGTGTCTGTGAGGCTAAGATCTCCCTCTGATCAACACGTCCTCAGGTCCTTGGGGAAGCTGGTCTAATACTTGCATATGTTCTAAGTACATGCTGCCGTATGCTTTGCCTCCTCTCTGGATGACTGATAGTGCTGAACACAATGTAAATGCTGGGTGAAAGACCTTGCCCGGTATTGCTTAAGCAACGATGATAAGAAAACAGTATGTAAAAAATGGAATGTATCTATTTTGTAACCTTATAGACCCATTTTTAAAAATTAATGTAATTCCCTACACAGTTAAGTGTGATGGTCCACTGTGAAGTCCACGGTGGTGTGTGCAGTCAGGATGACATCACAGAGGAGCAATTACACCAAGGCTCTCTATAAACATTCAGGAGTATTTCCTTACAATTTATTCCCATATCAACGGGAATCACACACCTTAAACGTTTTCCTATTGCTTCTGTTGTTGCTGTTGTTGTGTTCACTTAGAAATGGTCTGGTCTGTCCATGATGGCTTTCTCTCCTTGTGGGGATTCTAAGGAAGCATCCTGATGCATGGTAGCTGTGTTCACAAGCACCTTCACCCTGGGAGGTCAGACGTAAGGTCAAGGGGCACTGTCATTTTATAAGGACTTGAGGAGCTAGCACTCTCCAAGAGAGCAGCTCTTCCATCTCTGGGGCTAGGTTATTGCTCACTCATTCTAAGGAACTATAACCATCATATAAAATATTTAAACCTCAATTAACAAGGACAGCTGTCAACAGTTCAAGTGCTATTTACATCCAGTCACAGTCAATCAGCGATGTCTTTCTAGAAACAAACAACCGCATCCCCCGCACATTGCACACTGATGAGAAAGGATTTTTTTCCTGCCTGACTGGAACACTCCACCATTCCTACATATTCATAATAAACGCTTGATTTCACGAGATAAGTTCAAAGACTGTTTATAAAAATGTGAGATTTTATTTTTTTACAAAGTGCTAATTTTATTTACTTTGTTGTAAAAAAGATCCCTTAAGCTTGAATTGGAGAGATTGCTCAGTGGTTAGGAACACTTGCTGTTCTTGCAGAGAACCTGAGCTCAGTTCCCAGCACCGAGTGGCTCATCACCACCTGTAACTCCAGTTCCAGGGACTCCAGTGTCCCCTTCTGACCTCTGAGGTTAGTGCATGCACATACTGCTCGTACAGACATGTGGCCACACATGCATGCACATGGATACAAATAAAAATTTAAAAACAGTTTCTGAAAGTCTTGCAAGCTGAATGGACTATTCCAGGAAGGAAAACTAGTGAATGACTGTTAAGGCTTACACATCTAGGTTGTCTGCCGAGGTGTAATTCATCAGTCTCTCATTTATCTATCAGAATGGTTTTCCTTAGTTTTCTCACCAGGAAACAGAAAAAGGTGAGATCGCAGCTTTGCTGGCTTTGGACTATAAGACATACAGCCAAAGGGGGTGTGGAGAGACTGGATTCCCTTGGATGTGTCTCACCTGCCCAGGAGCACAGCGAATCACTCAGCCAGCCCGAGCAGTTCCAAGTTATTTATCTTTAGTAGCTGCAGCAAAAATTGTCCAGACAGTACCCATGGCTGGCTGGTCAAAAGAAGAGCAGAGAAAATCATATTCAAAATGATTGCCCACCTCCGGGCCACTCCATGCTCTCCTACCGGTTTGAGTCCTTTCGAGCTCCTGTACAGAGGGCCCTTCCTCCTCAGTCACCACCTCCCAGCCCAAATGACCCCACTGGCCGGCAGGCCGGGTACCTCCCCTCCTCTCCCTTCCTCCTCAATCACCACCTCCCAGCCCGGGTACATCCCCTACCTCTCTCTTCTGAGGTCCCTTCTCCGTTCATACTGTGATCCTCCCCACCCCCTCAGCTGCCAAACTCCTGGGACATCCATGCTGGCACCATCTCTCCAGGATCAAGCGGGCATCTATTCAGGATACATGGTCTGTCCAGCAGCTGGGACTCTCCACCTTCCAGTTTTCCGAGATGTCCCAATAAAGGCCTGTCTGCTCTTCTGCTCTGTACAGTACAACTAGGGCAGATGTTAATGATCTATTTTTTTTCCCTAGAAACTTGCCTTCTTTGCTTCCTCAAGAAACAGACGCCTGAGGTCTTGAGGATGACAATTAACTGGACTGGATGCTCCTCCACTCACACCTTTTGATGAATGTGAGCTCACCAATTCCCAGCTCCTCTTCCTTACATCACAAGTGCCCACAGGAAGTAGTCAGACTTGAACCGGTGTCCCTATACCCAAAGAGTCTGGAATGTTTGGGTGGAAGCTCCACCTCAACCCCTGGCACCCTGGCATCCCTATACCCAAAGAGTTTGGAATGTTTGGAAGGAGTCTGGTGGAAGATCCACCTCAACTCCCCTCCCCATCTCTTCCCCTAAACCTGCTACTTCAAAGCCCACCAAACACAGCTCCTCCCTGAGAAAGGCTTAAGACCACTCCCACAGGGGATATATAAGTGCCATCCCTGAAAACAGACACGTGGTTCTTCTGGTCTCTGTCCCTGTCTTCTCTCTGCAGGCCGGGGAATCGCCTAGGAGCACTTTACCCATTCAACCTGGGCTTCCCAATTTGGTCTGATTGGGTTTGCTGCGTCCTTCAAGGAGGCCTAAGACTTATCATACAGATAACAACTTTCCGCTACCACCACCGGATGTTCACCATCATCATGGTTTCTTTATGTCCTGTTCACATTTACAAACAATCCAATCACTGCAACTCCTGTGGTCTAGTAACTCAGTGGGAGAATGCCACGTGTTTTCTGCCCCCTGAGGATATGTGGTCAACCATGACTGACTCAGTCTACTCCACCCATTGGAGAGTGTGTTCTTTTTCAGTTCCCCAAATGTAAAGGTTACATGCCACCTAACTTGGGAAAAAAAAAATGGTTAAGGCTGCCCTTACCAATATGGTAGCCACTAGTCACATTTCATTAGAGTTATCTTTTTTTTTTTTTTTTTTTTTTTTTTTTTTTTTTTTTCAGTGCTGGGCACTGAACTCAGGACACTGTGAGTGCTGGAACTAAATTTAAATGAATTGAAATGAAATACAACTTAAAATTTAATTCTTCAGCCACATAAAGCGTATTTCAAGTGCTTGCTGTTCACACTTACTTAGTGGCTACAACGCTGGACATGGCAGAGATAGGACAGATATATTGGTATCAGTGTGTGTGTGTGTGTGTGTTTGTGTGTGTGTGTGTGTGTGTGTGTGTGATGTTTGCATGTATCACCACAGAAAGCAGCATATTACGCTGTCAACATATTTGTGCTGTGAACATCTGATCAAACATCTGTAGAGGGATCTCATAGCCTTCAAAATATTATAAAATTAAGATCATCTTTCTTGTATTTATTCACCTATAAAACCATTCAATTAAAATTTTCAGAGTAATTATTTTCTAAAAAGTTATTAATGTATTTGATCTATTTGTAGTAATATAAACATTTTAAAGCCTTTTGATAGTGACTAGCTGAACATTAAAATAATGTAGGCATAATATATTAGATTCACTTCAGAATTTCTGCCCCAGTTTTCTGTGATGAGTATAATAACTACTACATACCTGGTGGTTAAAATAACCGAAAGTATTTTCTCATAGCAGAGGCCCATGGTACAGAGTTCCTGGAGGGAGTCTGCACCTCACATAGTCTAGCTTTGAAAGGCTCTGTGCTGACCCTCTGCCTCCTTTCTTCACACAGACTTTTCTTCAGCAGCCTGCATGTCTCTTAGAAGGGCTGGAGAGATGGTTTTTAAGAGCACTTGTGACTCTTCCAGAGGAACCAAGTTCATTTCCCAGGGACTCAGGTTCAGCTCCCATCACCCACATCGGACAGCTCACTACTACCTGTAACTCGAGTACCAAGGAATATCACTCCCTCTTCTAACCTCCTGAGTCAGCTATATGCATGTGGTGAACCACACATACATTCAATTCCCAAATTAATAAGATTATTGTCAAAAAGGAAGATGTTACAAAAGATAGTGATGAAATCCAGAGGATCATAAGGTCATACATCAAAAACCTATATCCTTAATAATAAAATCTAAACTAAAGGATGGATTTCTAAATATCTATGACCTACCAAAGCTAAACCAAAAAGATATAGATCCACAGACAGCTATGAGATTGACACAGAAAAAACAACAAACAAAAACAACCATCAAGAACCTCCAGACTGAAAAAGCCCAGGTCCAGATGAGTTCGCTGTTGAGTTCTACCTGACCTTTAAAGAAGAACCAAAACTGATACTCATCAAATTAGTCCATAAAATAAAAGAGGAAGGAATGCTTCCATCATCCCAATGCCCAAGCCAACTAAAATACAACAAAAAAAAACCCTACAGAGCAATCTCCTTGATGAACATAAATGTCAAAGTTCTCAATAGACTATTAGCAAACTAAATTCTAGAGCACATCCAAAAGATCATCCACCACAACCAAGTTGACTTCATTCCAGAGATATAAGGATGGTCAAAACATGCAAATCAATGAATGTAATCCACCATGTAAATGAACTCAAGGACAGAAATCACATTATCATCTCAACAGATGCAAAAGGTGTGTGTGTGGGGGGGTGTGCAACACAATCTAATATCCTTTCATGATAAAAGCCTTAGTGAGATAGTGATAGATGGAACATGTGTCAATACAATGAAGACTGTATACAACAAGGCTGTAGGTAACACCATGATAAATGGGGAAAAATCTCCACTAAAATCAAAAACAGGACAAGGAAGTCCACTCTTCCATTCCTATTCAATATATTGCTTGACGTTTTAGCTAGAATAACAAAATAGGAAAGTAAAATAAAAAGGGATGCAAAGAGGAAAGGAAGATGAAAAAATACCTTTATTTGCCAATGATATGATTCTATAGGTAAGTAACCCTAAAGACTCTACCTGAAAACTCTCACAGCTGATAAACACCTTCAACAAAGTGGCAGGATACAGAATTAACATTCAAAACTCAATAGACTGTGTAAACCAATGGCAAGCATACAGAGAAAGAAATGAGGAAAATAATCCGAGCTGCAATAGATGTGCATGTGTGCTCATCAGGGCCCCGAGACTCCTGAGTTCGATCTGTCCTGAAAACTTCCTCCTTGAGGACTAGCTTCCATGGTACCTGAAGGCACCATGCAAGCTTCCAAAGGAGGGAAGCCTCCAACAGTCCCATGTAGTATGAACTACAGCAACCACTAGCCTGGCACAATAACCTCAGGGGTTCAGTAGTGGCAGGTATACCTCGGTGGTAATCAACATCCCCCTGATTTGAGTTAAGATCCATTCAACCAAAGGAAAATCATGCCTGGTATTGGAAATCCAGCCAACCACCCAAGGCTAGTCAAGTCATGGACCTTGAAGGACAACTTAAAACCACCACTTTACTAAACCAAAAGAATCCTTAGCTACACTCTAAGTATTTGTCCTTATACCCACAGATAAGTGTCATCTTCACTCCTCATTGAGGACACTTCTCTCTGAAACAGATGGCGACCATTCCAGAAAGCTACAGCCAATGAAGACTCAAAGTTGTGGCGCTCAGTCCCAACTGTTATATCTACAATGCAATGCCTGCACTTAAGGCTCACAGGTCATTGTGAACAGAATCTCTGTTGTAGGTTAGAGTCCTTTGAGAATATGTCTAAGAATGGTACAGCTAGAGCATATGGAAGTCCTATTCTTAGCTTTGCATTTTTCTCAATCTTTTGAGATTATAATATATCATTTCCCCCTTCTCCTTTCCTCCCTCCAAAACTTCCAATGGATATCCCTCCTTGCACTCTTTCAAATTCATGACCTCTCTTTCTTTAATTGCTATTGCACACACACACACACACACACACACACACACACACACACACACACACACACATGTATGTATTCCTAAATATGTAACTATAACCTGCTCAATCATATAATTTTACTTGTATGTATGTGTCTCCAGGGCAACAGTGATACCTGCACATTCATGTACATTGCAGCTCTAGACATAATAGAGGTAGGAAATGGAATCAGCCTACATCTTGTCCACAAACTGATGAATGAATATTGAAAATGTGGTCCATATGTAGTGTAGAATTCTACTTCATTGTTAAAGAGTGAGACTGAGATTTTCAGGAAAATGGATGGTACTGGGAAGTATTTTACTGAGTGAGGCAACTCAGACCCAGAAAGACAAACACCATATGTTCTCTCTCATATATATATTCCAGCTTTGAATTTTTAGATTCCTGTATTTAATTTGAGGGAGGGTCTGTAGAAGCCAGGAGCCAATAAAGAAGCCTTATAAATTAGAGATAGTAAAGGAGTAGCACGGATCCTATGAATGAAATCTTAGACAGGGTTGAGGTGGGGAAATGCAGAAGGGGGGGAGGGAAATGCCTAACAAAAATTAATTATGTATTTTAAAAGTCATATAGAAACCAAAATACATATTTTTTTAAATTATGCTTAAAATAAAATAAAAAAAGTTTGAAAGGGAGGTACCACTCATGAACGGAGAAAGCTGCTCTTCCAAATCATGGGCTTTGAAACAAGAAACCAGTTAGTTCTGGGGAGATATCTCCCTAAGAGTTGCTGGCCAGAAAGTTCTCAGAAGTCTCCACAGTATACAGGCTTTTGCCATTGCTTTTGGTTGCACACCAGAACTAGATGATAAGACTCTGTCTGGAGACATCACACATTTTGGTTACAGGACATAGGAAAGTCAAGAATGGAACTGAGCTGGAAAATTCCTCCTTTCTGGTTAGTATTCATAGTGCCTGGAGGCCATGCACCTTCCCCAAAATTTCATGGTTTCATTCTTTCTTTATTAACTGAATAGAATCTCACCATTTTATGTAACATATTTTCAATGTCTATTTAATTGATAGACATATATGCTAGTGGGTGAGAAAAATTCATCAGTGGTCTTGCCCAGCTGTAGACCATGTGTGCTACAATGCTGACCCAACAAACATATACTCACTGGTACAGTAGTTGCATGAGTCTATTGGGGATAATAAACTACTTTGTGATTGTATTTGAGGCTCACTCCATGAGAAGAAATGCATACTTGATGTTATAAACCTAGTCAAAACCTATGGCTGGGGAGGGAAAGGACCCAAGGGAGGGACACATTACTCTTGTTTCCTTAAATGAAATGAACATATTGCCAAACTGCCTTTAAGTCGTTGTGTTTATACCCATAGACTACTAGTTCAGCTGTCAGCCTGGGGTGGAAAAAGGCTCCTCTTCTCAGAGGGTGACAGTTAATATAGAAACTCATATCCAGTCAAAGTGCTAAGAAAAAAAAATTACTGATGAGCGCTCAGCCTCAACTGGGACTCCATTCCCACCCCACCCCACCCATCAAGACCCAGAGAATGTCACAGAAGAGAGATTGGAAAGAACTAGGACCTGAGGATGGGGAAGAGTATCCTGAGATGCTCTCCTCTGGATAAGACATTGCCATGTCAACCATGAACACACAGCAGCTATGGACACCTGCACAATTGGTCCTCCTGACTTTCCACCATGGATGGAAGAAGTACCCATGAGGATCCATCTCTTCCTGAGGAGCCAACAACTGTTCAGGTTTTTGGAGGAGGGCTGCCATATTCTCTAGTGGTGTAGATGGTGCAGCCACGGGAGGACTATGGGAAGAAGCAGGGTTCCGAGGGAAAGAAAGGAAGGAGGCCATCAAAGGGTAATGAGAAATGACTATAACTGTGTGTGTGTGTGTGTGTGTGTGTGTGTGTGTGTGTGTGTGTGTGTGTGTGTGTGTTTAAAAATAAAGGAAAACTCTCAGTTCTGGGCATTGTGGAACTTGCATTTAGAAGTAGAGCATTTAGAAGTAGAGACAGAAAGTAGAGGCCATAAAAATAGAAGTTGTGGGTGTGCCAGAAGTTCAAGCCCAGCCTGGTCCACAAAGTAAGTTCCAAGCCAGTCAAGGCTACATAGTGAGATCTAGTCTTAACACCAACAACAAAGGCGCTATAAGATGGCTGAGTGAGTGAACTGTTTGCTGCGCAAGCTTGAGTTTAAATACCCAGAACCTACCTAAAGCTGGATTTTATAGCATGTATTGGCAATCTCGCACTCTCATGGAGAGATTGGAGGCAGAAAGAGGACCCCTAGAAGTTTGTGGGCTAGTTAACCCGGCTGGTATATGAAGTACAAATAAACAAGAGACCTTGTCTCAAACAATGTAGAAGGTGAGAGTATGCTCTATAGCAACTCCGTGTTCTCATTCACACACACAAATGCATGCATGTGCACACATGTGTACATATACATACATGCAGAGAGAGA